GAGGAGGGTCTGTGCAGGGGAGGGTTTTTACTGGAGGAGAGCTGACCTTGGCTTTTGAAACTGTGGCAGTTCTGTGTGTCTCAAAGGAAAGCCCTTGGTCATGATGTCACCACATCCCTCATGTCCTAGTTCAGTGCTTAGTTGCCTGGGCAGTCGACAGATGGGGACCAGAGCTGTCCTCACAAGCACATTGCTTTCAGAGTCATGATTTCAAGTGGTAGGAATCAACCCTTGACAATGTGGCCTGGCCTTCTCCCTGGCCCGGTGGCCCTGAGCGCACGGTGAGTGGAAACTCGGGGAGGTGTTCTAGGATGCGGGATGTCCCTCGCACTTCCATTGAGCCCTGAAGAGACCCGGGTGCCTTCCTGTCCCTCCAGAACTGGCCCACTTCCCAAGTGTGGCTTGTTCACAACCTGAATTATCCAGATGACACAACCTTTCTTGCAAAAAGGAAAGAAGATATGGACCTAGCTGCTCCCTGAAGCATCACCGAAGCTTGTGATTCCAGGGAGTCTTCACCAACATCTACAATTTTTGAGGCACATATCCTTGCGAACACCTCTGCTGAGCTCCTGTACTAAGAGACTGTTCTCCCTCCTCCCTCCACAGACCTGCTTGTTTAGGAAGCCCTGATTCTCCACAAGCCCCCAGAGCAAGAGCAATGAGAGGAGTAGAGAACGAGGGCAGGGAGCAGGAGGTCAGACTGTGCTCTCGCAGGCCCGGCTATGTGTCCTCAAAGACATTCCATAAACAGTGCAAGAACCTTCTGAGGTCTTGAACCTTCGCTACAGACAGGTTAAGACGTGGTTCCAGAACCAGAGAGTGAAATGCAAGATATGGCAGCAAAATAACTGCTTAGAGAGAAACAATGGTGTGACTCTTCCACTCCTTCCATCTCCAGGGATGCCTTCCTCCCGGAGACCTTCTGATGAAGCAGCCAGGCCTGGGACAGCCATGCTTGGTGCAATGGGGCCCGGGACAGCCACGCTTGGTGCAATGGGGCCCGGGACAGCCACGCTTGGTGCAATGG